TTATAGAAATAGCCATATTTATATCCTTAATCTGCGTTTAGGAAGAAGAGGAATAGGAAGAGTATAGTATTGGATCTATGTTAACTTGACCAGGACGGTAGCACTGACTGTGTTACACTGAAAGAGATAAGGAAGGCAAGGGCGGCAAGTACAACCAGAACTAGAGATTTCATTTCCCCCCAGTCCCCTCCCCCTTCTTTGGGCTGGATAAACGTCACGTAAGGACTGCAGCAGAAAAGAGATTTGTAGATGTCATCAGTGATTATTTTATGGAACAGCTGGACAGGAAGCCACAGAAGGAAATAAAGCAGTTGTTTTGGTACTGAGGGTGCCCAGGATCTGATTGGGAACCTCATGGGTGAACAGTGACTATGTAAACGGGGACCATAGCCTTCTTAGATTAAATATCCTTGCAGGAATAATGACTCCCAAAAAAATCCAGCACAGTTGCACTCAACTTTAAAAGGTGGACTCTGTAAAATTTAGGATGCTTGTTAAAAACAAAACCCAAAAATAAATGGAGAAAAAAAAATTCTAAAAGAGGAAGCTCAGAGAATTGAATCTGACAGGGAACATGGAAATTACTGAAGGACTTTATCCAAAAATCCCAGAGTCAATGCCATTTATTAGGAAAGGCTTGAGTAAGGATAAGAAGAAACTGGCATAGCTAAACATGTAAAAGAGACTATTAGAAACAAGAAGACAATTCTTGTAAAGGCTGAATTAATACCCAAATGAAGAAAACAGATATGATCGTAAGTTCTGGCATGTTAAATGTGAAAACGCAATAAGGCAGGCCAAAGAAGGAGCATGAGGGCCACTTCCAGATGGAATCAAAACTAATAATGAACCCTGCAAACCCATCACGTAAGAAGCCCGTCAGAGAGTCTATAGAGCCAGTTGATGATCAGGATATAGTAAGGACACTTGCCAAAAGATGTGAACGCAAACCATTTCCGAAGGCTCAAGTGGAAGCATGGACAAGGTGTCAGAAGAGCGATCCAGGGAGGTTTATGGAACATGACACATCAGGCTCAGGTGACCCCTGGAGCTGGAAATAGTCAAGGGCTGGGAGAGCAAGTACCTGAGAGCAGTGCCACACTTAAGTGTCCTGTTCATACTCTTTCCTGGCTACCTTCTCAGGTCTGCTGAGGCAGGGTACTGGGCTAGGGACCCCCTTGGTCTGAACCCATAGAGAGATTTTCAGAAACACTCAGGTACTTAAATCTAATTTAAATCTAATTTAGATACTTGAATATCTGCATGCATCTTGGTCTGCCTATTTATCTTTATTTATTTATCTAGTATTTGCATAGTAGACTAGAATGGAGGAAAAAATAGTCTTTACCAGACTTGAACTTGATAGGAAGTTCATTGCTGAAAGTCTATCTTATCCTAGAGTGTAGTTGATAGAAACATTGAATTGGCATTTATTTGTTTTTCAGCACCGTGTGCACACAATCCTAAATGCAGATTTGGTCATTGTAATGAAGAGAGGGCTTATTTTGGAATATGACAAGCCTGAGGTTCTGCTAGAGCAAGAAGACAGTGTCTTTGCTTCTTTTGTACAAGCAGATAAGTAATAAAAACATATGAAGCATTTTAAAGTACAGTTGTATTATTCATTTTCTTAAAAAAAAAAAAAAACTGTAAATTACCTGTAAATAAATGTTGATTATTTCATAACAAAACTGAGATTTCTTTTTTTTTTTTAAATAAAAGGAGCTATTTCTCCATCTGAAAGACTGACGAATTATCCATGTACTTTTCCTTTTTGCTGCTCCTTTTTTTTTTTTTGCTACCAAAGAATCATAAAGTATGGTTGAAAAAAAACTACCTGGATGAAATATGTCAGGATATACATCAAATATACATGGCTAACATGGAGTTTTTAATGTAACTCTTAAGCCTCTCCTGTTGTTTTATTACCCTGTTATTTTTATGCATTATAGCCTTACTGTAGATAACATTCATTATTGAATAAATACAGAATAAAAATGATATACCAAAGGTATTTCGCAAAAGCTTCTATCTCTTTTAATTATATGATACTGTAAAGCTTTGCTGTCTAAATATAAAATATGTAAAACCTTTTTCTTTATGGTGTGGTTTATTGCTACTGCTCGTGTCTCCTTCAATGCCTTTAAGAACTAACCACAATCTGATTCATTTTCTCTTCCTTAGACTGCCTCACTTCAACCCGTATTGAGTCATACTGCACTGATTCCCAAGGGGATTGAGCCAAAATCCCTCCCAAACACTGAAGAAGCTAAGAGAAGGCAGGCTTGTGATACAGTATCAGTAATTAATGCACAAGATTGCCAGACTTACCAGTTCATCTGCACGTGATTCCTCCAAATCTGATGAATAACCACTATTAAGTCCTTCACTGTAGCTCAGAGCCGTGAGAGCAACTAGTCATTGTCTCCTAGTTTCACATATTTCACCCACTATCACATTGTTTCTTGATTCACTGTGAGCTTTCCCAATAAATTATGTATACTTATATGTATAATACTTTTTTAAGGTAACTTGTAGCCACTCTAATTATCCTGATGTGGCTGGGCAACTACTTATCCTTGCCCTTTCAATTTATTGTGGCAATCATTCCAGGATTTATTAATTGCTAAGTGGTTAGAATGATAATGACCCAACAGAAGGCTACAATTAACTTTTCACTGGTATTCTTTTTATAGCAACTTTTGCTTCACATCCATTTTTGTCTTCTTCCCTTTTTTGAGGAATTCACTGCATTTGGGAAAACTGCTTTCTGTTTTTCCTCTCTCTTGACCCGGCTCAATTAATTTGGAATCCATTTTTAAGACTTTATTTTCCAGAAACAGAGATCTCTTGTGTTTTAATGGGCTACATGGTATTTTTAATGCATTAATTCTCTTCTAGCACTGCAGCAGAGAGAAGGGAAAAGTGAGGAACTGTTCTTGTTTCAATACTGTTACCAATTCCACAGTGCAGTATTTGCAGCCTCTGCCTGCTATTACTTGTACAATACTTAAAGGCATTAAACTGGCACCAGAGATGATATGACCAACAGAAGAGTATAGCATGAGCAATAGTAAAAGTGGGGAAGGTAGAATACAGTCATGCAGACAAAATACATGAGCTCCATCACTGCCTTCTGCAGATGAAGGGATGAAAAAAGAGCAGTTGGGAAGGATCCCTTCCTCCAGGCAATTGTTTTTGCTGAGCAGCTTCAAAGAAAAAATAGCTGCAGAAGTACTGGCATGCTTTTACCCTGAGACTGCAGAAGTCCATTAGGGCTAAAAGAAAATAAATTAGAGCGAGGTAACTGTAACCTTTCAGGCGAAGAGAAGGGCAGCTGCATTCAGCTCCTGTGCTCAGCATACTGTGCCCCACACAGCACTGTGTGTGCTGCCTTCTAGCTGCACACTAGGACTGGCCTCAGGCAAATATTTCATCCTGTAAAGGCTTAGGAAAACACATCACTGTGCAGGACATCTCAAACCTCATGCTGCGGAGAGAGTCCCTCCAAAACTTTACAAGCATCTGTGAAGATCCTGAATCCTGAGGGCAAGAGGAGAAATACAGAAAAATGAGGTTTCATATGCTTTTAAGAATGGACCTGGGCTTTGAGACTGCGATTTGGACGAGTTCCTATTACACAAGCTTCTGATGACCTTGTCTGGAAAGGCATACAAGGGAGCTAATGCTGGAAGTAGAAGACTATCAGATCTCAAAGTGCCACAACTGTGCCAAATACAAGTGGAAGGCCCCTTGCCGTTATCTGAGTCTTTAAACTTCTGTTACCTCCAGACAGAAGTCTCAGAAGTCACTACTGAATCAGGCTCACAAATATACTTAGCATGATAATGAAGCATTACTAAGCAGAGTACTGTACTACAGTGGGCTCAAGATAGCCCCAGAGCAGCTGCACGAGGCTGCTGAGGCTGCCATGTCTAGACTCGCTCACTTCTCTGCTGGGACGGGGCTGAGCTGTGTCCCAAAGGTGTCAATAGATAGGCTGCCCATTGAGCTGCAACCTGCTGCCTTCCATAAATGCTTCCATTATACAAAGAGCTTTAGAACAAACACCTTGTCTTACTGTGGTCATTTCATCCTGCTCTAAGCACTTCTAAGGCAATGCTGTTTCCTGGAAAGACAAGAAGGGCAGTGTGCCTGCTACATTAGCCTCTCTTCCTAGCTCCGCTCGTGACTTCCTCTATGGCCTTGAATAACCAACTCTGATCTCTTTTCTTCCCTCTGCCTGCTTTATATATCAAAGTGTTTTGAGAGGCTTAATTTATGTTAAGCTAGCACTTTGCAGCCTTTGAAAGAGAGGTGTGTTTCTAAAGGCAAAGTAATACCATAGTGCCAGCTCAATGTTAATTAAATAGTTATTCTTGTAACATTATCTTCCTCATACCTGCTAAAATTAAGAGAAGTCAGGGCAAAAGTTAATAAAGAAGTTTTGAAATATAAAATCTATTTCATGGTTAGAAAAACTTGGTTACCCCTCATGATTCAATATTGCAGCCTTCAAGTGTGAGATCGTTCCTGTGAGCCCAATTTGTTCAGCAGCTCTTAACACAAATATGTTGGCTCACACAGAAGATCTGTCACTTTTTTTCTTTTAAGTATCTGTCACTTGATCCGCAGAGACAGGGCTCCATTTTATTCCAAATTCTTCAGCAGAAGCCACTTGCTTTGCTGTCCCATCTCAACCATCAAGTGATCAGAGGTGAAGGAAAAGGAGGTAAGTGGCAAGTGACAGTCCCAATAAAGAACAGAAGTGGAAACAAGGAAACACCCTTCTAGATATACAGTGTTCAGGATTCCTAAAGCCAACATGGAGAGCTCGTTTATGTGAAAGTCCTTCCTGTAGTAGGCTCCCCTGGTCTTCCTAGCACCAGCCTATGAAACAATTTACCCAGAGCCATGTACCTTTCCATTCTATTTTCTTTAGAATGCTTCTCTCCAAAACATTTTTTTCTTTCTACGGTCATGTAGTTACTGCCCTCTGGAGGAAAAAGTACAGAATAAGATAGTGACTAGGAAAGAATTTGAAAGAAAAAGACACCAAAGGCATGACTGCCTCTTGAATAGCTATTTCTGCCTCTGCAACAGGGTGTGCAAGGTTGCTAAGGAGTAATGCATGGTGTTAGTCTTTACACTCATTTTAAAATCTGGAAGTAACTATGAGCTCCCATAAGGTGGGGAATCAGGCCTTTCACAAATAACTCTTCAAATTACTTCATCCATGTAGGTATTTTTTAAACGTTTAGAAAGAAAAGTATAAAAAATACAAACTTTTTTCTAAATAATTGTGTATAAACCATATACTTAGACAAAGAGCGCTTACACCGTACACTTACACTTTGTTCTGTTCAGGTAGCACTCACAGCAAGCACACAAAATATCTAGGAGAGAAAGGAGAAAGTGATAAAGGGGGAGGGGAAGCACTTCTAGCTAAGTTCAGAGGCCAGGCAGTCAGGGACCAGGGAACCTCACTGTCATTTCAGTTCTATTTATCAAAGCAGTAAGAAAGGCAACCCAGAACAAGAGGAAGAGGTACAAGAGTGTACTGGAAACTGATTCCCCTGAACAGAATGTATACGTCCAAGGACATGCAACAATTCATAACATGAATGGTAGAAATGAAATGCAAGGAACCTATAATGACTGCTCAGAGAGATTATTCAGAAATATTAATTCTGAAATCCATGGATGGGCCAGTTAGTAGCAGCAGACAGTGAAAGTTAATTTCAGTCTCCCCTAAAGGCTGGCTCCCAGACATCAACTTCTTTCATGGTATTATTACATTGCCCAAGAAATCAGCTTGCTCTGCATACCAGAACACTTGCAGAGCCACCACTGATGGGAAATTCCATGGATACATGCAATTAGAAAAACATAATCTTACATCCACTGACACTTAAGGAAAAAAAAGAAAACCTCTTTTTAGAATATCCTAGGATGCTCTAGCAATTCACTGACTTTGGTATCCAAACTGAAATAGAAACAAAATATTTAAATCAGTATGTAGCATAAGCACAGGAAAGAGAATATTGCTGTTTGTGCTAAACAGTTCAAGAATTACTTCACAGTGTTTTCAGATAATGCATATTGTCACAAAGATACATCCTTACATACATGCACATAGATGTATTTATATATATACATTGTACAATTGCACACAACTTGTAGTTCCCTGTCTCTTGTTGCCTCAGCTGCCGATTTCAATGTCTTCTTGGAAATTCATGTAAAGGGTGCATTAACAACGCGCTGCAAGATGGTTCCTTTGCACCTTTTACCGCTGCTTGGACAGGAGGCACCTTCCTGAGCAGTCAGTGCCACTACAGTAACTCACATCAGTTCACTCGATTCAGAAATTCTTCCATATTCAAGGCTAAATAATCCTAGCAAGTTTCATAAATGTGAGTGGGGATGAGCCCTTAGTTCCAGGTTTCGGTTTTAAGCGTGAATTCCTCACGGGACCGGGGCTCTTTAAGCACATTTCCTACCACTGCCTACCTGAATCATTCATTAGATGAAAGCTTTCCTCCCGTTTACCCAAAAAAAGCACACGTGAGTTTCAGGAACCCCTTTGCATTAAGGGCCTTTTAAAAATCCCCAACAACATTTTGTTTCCAATCTCGCACCATAGTTTCCTGAATTGAAATCACACAAGCCCACAAAGTGACTACTCATAACAGAAGCCAGATCCTGGCAGAAAATCTGCCCTCGAGAAAACATTTACAGAAACCGTTTCTCGTCGGGGTCGGGGCGGGGGGGAGATCATTAATATGACTGGGGCGGGAGCCGAGTTACTAGCGCCCTCTACTCCTCAGAAAGCTCCGAGGTAGAAAGATAAAGAAACGCACCCGCAGCTCTCACGGGAGGGATCCGGGACCGGCTCCACCTTCGCACCGGCGACACTCATCCACCGCCGCCCAGCGCTTTTAACGGTTCGCCACCAACCGCTGCCCGCGACCGTTACCCGGCGACGCGAGCG